TAAATGTTTAGTGCGGGGTGGAACGGTACAGATGGCTACCATTCAGTATAAGTATATAAGAATAGATTTTTGTTACTGTTTAGTGCGAGACTTTTGTAACCTGTATTCTTTTGTCATTTGGGTATAGGTAGAGCCGTGCGGTAGTGTTGGGAAAAGAAACCTTGGTTTAGGGCATTAATTTGAGAAGGAAATCTTATTAACATTTAGTAACTATTAATTTAAAAGTAGTAAAATACATTTTTTATTTGTCAACTAGTAAAATACATTTATGTGGGTCTATGTTTACAATGATTTAGTAATACTAGTAAATCAAATATGGGATTTCCAAAAATTTTTACTAGCCCCGTAATAAGTATTTAAGTAAAAAGATTTTTCAAAAGTTTAAAAAATAATTTTAATTTTGAAAAGCTAGTCAATGACTCTGTCATAAGAAAGATTGAGCTATTTGGTTATTTTATCTAACGAAAAGAAACTTCTAAAGAACGTTAATTTTGAAAGGATGGTCAATGATTTTATAGAAAAAAAAAAATAAAGTTTTATGATTTAGAAATATTATTCATTTGTTGTTTTTTTTTGTTAAGTGACAATAATATTTACTATTATAAAACATTTTTTTTCTGTGAATGAGGGCATTTTATTTTTAACCGCTTCTGTATGTTATTAGGGTTGGCACGGCTCTGCGTATAAGAGGAACTTACCAATGTGTCGTATACTTAAATTAGATTTTTCAAAATCTAACAGAATTAAATCGTAACATTTCAAACTTCAAATAATCAAGCGTAACAAACCAAAGACACACAAAATTGGTTTACATCACACGTTAGTAGGCGTATTATCCTCGTCAAAAAAAAAAGTAGGCGTATTATCCGCATTTATTACGTATAATATAATCATCAAATATATATATTTTTTTGTCATAATCATCAAATATCTAATAGTATAAAAGATGCCATCTTTTCTCCTCTAGAGATTTCCAAATAGTAATGAAGAAAAAAACCAGCGAAGTCATTATCAAATTCGACCGTCCAGTTGGACACGTACACGTCTTTGTGGTCAAACATCAATCACCTAACTTCTTAGAATATCACGTTACGGTGCATGTGCCTGATTTTTTTGATGAAACCCCAAATCAATTTATAGAGGATGAATGAAGATGAGTTTGTGAAATTTCATAGCTAGATTATTATTATATTTCAGTTTTCCTTAAAATTTGTCCTCTTCTCCTCTACAAAAAGCCTTCTAAACCTTGCTTTAGACAGAGAAACAGTGCATGCAAACAATGGGGAATTCAAATTCGATGTGTGGGTGTAAAAGGTAATAATAATAATTGGGATCATTCCATAATATGATTTCTTGTGTACGTAATCCCAAGTGATTTATACATGTATCTTAGATACATAAGTTAACTAGTGACGCGTGTTGTTATTGTGAATTTGTAGAGTTTACAACAACAAGAAAACTCCAAAAGCTAGTTTTGTTGGCAAGAACTCATCTCACGATGGTATTAAAACAATTGAAGCAGTTAAGAGATGTAGCTTTTCTAGAAAATCAGATCTTTGCATCCGTGTCATCACATGGAACACGAATGGAAAGGTACGTACGCTTTTTATACACCTTACGGATCATTTGAATGGTTTTTTGGCTTACATTTATATAGAAAACATTCTGCTCGTTATTTGTTAAAATAAATTTGGTATAACAAATCTTCCTAGTTTCATTACCTTCAACTACGATTTATCATTAACTGTTACTAATTTGTGTGAAGGTTTCGTATGAGGATTTTCTTGAGCTTCTTGGCGAAGACAGGAAGTTTGATTTGCTTGTCGTTGGCTTGCAAGAGGCTCCCAAAACCAATGTTGTTCAATTTTTGCAGACAGCAACATCTCCAACTCACGAGTAAGCACACTACTGTTTCTTCCTATTAATGCCTATTACTGACTGATTTACGAAAAATGGTTCAAAAAAGAGATTTACCCAAAAAAAAAAATTTCTTCTATTCCCTGTAAGTCTAACATTGCAAGGTTCCATTATCAAAATGAAATGCAGGCTTCTTGGGGAAGCGAAATTACAATCCATCCAGCTATATCTGTTTGGTCCCAAGAATTCACAAACACTAGTAAAAGGTATATAGTAATAGATAAATGGTTCATTTTGGTTGAGAAAGCAGGGTTGGAACACTTTCACTGCGATTTCAATCATGATTGGTTGTAACTATCTTGAATGGTAATAAAACCCGGCCCTTCCATATTCTTTGTGAATTAGTCTAATTTGTTGCCTAGTTTTATCTAGAAATCCAAAAAATTATATAAGAAATATTAAATAATTTGACTATTGGACGATTAATTGCAGAATTAAAGGCAGAGAGACATTCAGTAGGAGGTTGTGGAGGTTTGATTGGAAGAAAAAAAGGGGCCGTGGCTATTCGTGTTAACTTCGATGATATCACAATGGTTTTCATCTCTTGTCATCTCTCTGGTAAATACTTTACTTGGTTTTATTCACTTTTATCAATGCTAATTTAAAATAAAGTACAACTAGTTAACAAAATAATAATAATGTATTGGATATATGCAGCTCATGCGAAGAAAGTGGATCAAAGAAACAGAGAATTGAGACACATATCAAAGTCACTATTATCAAGAGACAAAAGCACATGTGACCTCATTGTTTGGCTTGGAGATCTCAACTACAGGATCCAAGATGTCTCTAACCGTCCTGTTCGATCACTTATCCACAACCAACTTCAGTCTGTAAGTCCTCAATTCTTCTCCGTTTCTATAAAATGCAAACAATATTTTGTTATTTATGTGTAAACCTTCGGTTTCGGATTTGGTTCGGTTCAGTTTTATGCGTAAACATTCGATTTGCCAAAAAAACTAGTCTAAATAGTTGTTCTTGCGCTAATTTTGGTTTTTTATTTGGTACAAAAATATTGTTACCGTTCAATTTCAAAAATAAAGTTCGGTTCGGTTCTGTTGTAAATAGTTTACGTATTTGGTTCGGTTTTCCTATGTACTCCTCTCCAATTGAATTATTACTCTTTGAAGGTTCTTGTGAGCAAAGACCAACTCCTGCGAGAAGCTGAGAGAGGCGAAATATTCAATGGCTACTCTGAAGGAACTCTAGGTTTTAATCCGACGTATAAATACAATGTTGGTAGCAGTGACTACGATACAAGTAATAAAGTGAGGGTTCCAGCTTGGACAGATAGGATCTTGTTTAAGATCCAAGATACTGACAATATTCGAGCAACTCTTCACTCTTATGATTCCATTGACCAAGTTTATGGTTCTGATCATAAACCCGTGAAAGCGGATCTTTGTTTAAAGTGGATCCACAACTAGATGTATGCTCAAACAGTTGGAACGGTTTAAAGTTATGCTATGTTGCATCGTTGTCGTCTAGAGAATAAATAGTAGGCAGCATTTTAAGTTCTTTGTCACTTGTATTATATTCGTATTTTTAATGTAACAAATCGCTATATTACAAGAAAATTTTGAAAATCTC